AGGGTACAACCAAAAATCGATTTTGATACACAATATCCCATTACAGTACCCCCTTAATTAAGTTAATATTGCTTTCAGATTTCTGGAACCGTAGTCACTTACGTTCTGGTAGCACTTCAGTTCAATGCATCGTGGGAAAAAAGAAACTAAAATGAATTACCGCACAAACATAGCAACCATACACGTAGATAACCTAAAAATAGTCGAACCGCTCAAGATAGAACCGATCGCAGCGAAATCGCCCGAAGACGACTCCTGCTTCTGCCTGTCGGCGTCGCCGATCTTGCTAATCGCGAAACTCTTCGGGCTTTTTCCAATAACCTCTCGGCACGTCAAGGGGCAGTGCACGTACTCGAAGTCGAAAATCTGGCTGATCTACTCGATTGTGATCTTTCTGATCTACTTATCGCATGTGTTCATGACCACCGACCTTTTGCGCTTCGACAAGAACAAGCCGTTGCCGGAACTCCTGTCGGCGATCAACGACATCATGTACGCGATCTTCGTGGCAATCCTAACGATAATTAGCATATTGAGATATCCGCGATTCGTGAAGATGCTGAATACTTTGGTTCCGCTTGTAAAGGACGCGGGGTTGGTCTGCCCGTCGGCGCTGGCGTCGCTAAGAAGGGTTCAGTACGGTTACCTCACGCTGTTCTTCGCGGAGATGTCGGTGCAGTACGGCGTACTGATCGGGGTGCACTACTCGGACCGTTACGCTACCAATTTTGACTACAACATGTTCATTCACGTAGGCGTCAAGAACATTCCGTTCGTCTTCTACCTGCTCTTCTTCCTCTTCTGCTCGGCTTTCATATCGGTACTCGCCTGCTTTGAAAAGCTCATCATCAGCGCACTGAAGTTCACTCCGGTTCATCCCTCGAACAACATCGACGAGACCAACAATAAACGCGACTTCATTGGCCTGATCAAGTACGAAGTGTGCAAGCAAGACCACAAGTGCTTCGGAAAGATGATGGACCTGACTCAGGCGGAGCTCGTCGAGCACCTCAGAGCACTGCACGAGGACATCAGTCTCGTAATTTACGACTTTAACGCGTGCATGAATCCGCAGTTGCTGTTTCACTCGATCGTGGAGTTGGCGGTCTTGATCATTCACTGGTACGAGGTTTTGATCTACACCTCCTACACCTTTTCGTCGCCTTTCGCTAGCGCCATAAACTTCGTTAACTGGACGTTCGTCATAGCTCACAGCGTGGGGTTGTTTCTCTTCCTGAAAAGCGCGCAGGACTTAAAAAATATGGTGAGTACTCATTAGTTAATTTACATTTCTTACGACTACGAAGATAGGGTTCAACCCTTCATTAGTCTCACGATCAGCAAACTACACTGAATTTTTAAAAACAAAAATATCTTGACACGCTTAATTAGTTCGTCCTTGATCATCCGAAACCCACTATGAAAACAATGCTCTACAGAAATTAAAAAACGCAGAAGAGACAGTTCCAACAAATGATTACAGATTTACTCTTGAAACTCCACTAAGTTATTGGCAGATCTGCCCCCCAAATTCTATTGTATGGATTCAAATATTACCTATAAAAGCAATACACATCTGGTTCATATGCAACTGATGTCACCTGCTAGGTTCTTTTAAGTGTATTAAGACTATGTTAATTAAAATTTCAATGGAAATCCTTAAACGCAACCGAACAATACCTTATACAAATATAAAATTCAAAAGAAAAAATTAAAGTAGCTTCCAGATAGTTATTCAGCTGATGTTTCATCAGGTATCTATCAAAATGCGGTTGTCCCTCGAAAAGGTCCTCCAAGAGAAGGTGAAAATTGGATCGGAGAGTGAAACGGTTGAATTTTGATACGAATACTACCTAACGTGAGTCGTTAGTGGTGAAAGTTTTGTGCGAGAATGTAACACCGGGGGGTATGGAAAACCCCCCAATCATATCACTCCAGTACAGGAAAATCGTATAATAGTAAGAAAGGAAATTTTGAATCTTTGTATGTTGGGCGGTATTTCCTTAATGCATACCCCCCAGACCCTAATCCGTAGGTGTGAACGTTTTATTTAAGAACGTACCAACGCGGGTTTGGGGGTATAGAGTCCAAAAAAATCAAATTTACATATCTCTATAAAATTCGAAAAAATATCTAGAGCTACCGTTGCAATACGCATCGCTTCCTATAGCTCTTGTTTCCGCCCGTTCCTGAAGTTACTTTTCCCTTGATACATATACAGGGTGTTTATTAAACATGCGGTAAAAATGTAAAGGGATATTCCTTGGATTATTCTAAGGATATTTTTTCCTTCGTTGATTTTTGATAGGGCGCTTTGATTTGATTTGAGAAATCGGATAATTGCTGGATGTAACCATTGACTAGGGGGAGGGGGGGGGGTATTAGTCAATGGTGTAACGCAATCAGAAACGATCCTGGTGTTTTTGAAAGAGTTCGTGAGTTGATGAGGAGAAGATTGGATTTTTGCATCCGAGCGGGGGGTAGTCATTTTGAACAGTTCACGTGGATTAAGAAACATTACATGTAATTTTTTTTGGTAATAAAATTGTTATTGTCGAAATTCTTTTCGCCCCGTATCTTCGAAACAAAGCTCCCTACCAAAAATCACCGAAGGACAAAATATCCTTAGTACAGTCCAAGGAATAGTCTCTTAAATTTTTGCCGGGTGTTTAATAAACACTCTGTATACTAATTAATACGTAAATTTTGTTTCCTTCCTATTTTATACAACTCTTGTTGTTCTTTTCTGTTCTTTAATTCCTTATTTATTTTTCCTGCCTCTGTCATTTTCCATATTCCTTTCCTTTTACCACCATATCAAACGCTGCCAGGAAGAATCCATAATGCTGTAAGAAAAAAATGCGCTCAGGGCCTGCAGACAAAGTACCACGCATACGCGATCGATGGAAACAGATTAAATTTAAAAGAAAATAATCAATTTATCTTTTTCCACGTTATTGTGCTTGCTTCTCCATTCGTTTCCTTTCTCTTTTCTCCAAGTATGTGTATTTTTCTCTATTCACTCATCACCTTTCCGTTAATTCTTATCCACCCCATGTTTTATGCCATTGCAAATAACAGTTCTCCTTTGTTGCACACTCTATCTATGATGTTTTCTTTTCCAAGTTTTTCTCTTTCTGCTCCCCTTCATTTACCGTTGTGTTGCGTTTCTCACCTTCTCCTTCATGGTCTTTCGTTTCATCTTTTAATATTGCGATCTTTCTTATTCTTAAACCCATAGCTTTTCCCTTCTTTTTATTTCCCCCTTCATTCCTTTCGTTTCCGACATTACCTCCTCCTGAATCTTTTCTGTCTCTCCATTTGCCTCTTTGCTGTTTCCCTTACTCTCGATGGTTTCTCTATTATTTGTTCACCATCTCACTCCATCCCCGTGCAATTGTAGCATTAACTATCGGATACACGTAATCTCAGAAAAAGTAGGCGTGGCTCAATAGTTTTTGCACTAGCTGACCCCGGGTTTTATTGACCCCCTGTTTCTGGAACCGTTAAAACTACTGATTCAGTGCAAACTCTTTCCTCCGTCAGTCGAGACAGCTCCACAGGGTACAAACGTTGAAGGGGTGCAAGTCGAAACTTTCCATCACGTCCAGGTTATAACTACCTAATAACTGTAAGGGGCAATTCGAAACGATGATGATAATCAGCTTCAACTAACACATCTCCAATAGCAGGAGCTCCTCGATTGTTAAAATTCCACGTAATTGTAATAATATAGCTAGGTATTCCTTACGAAATCGCCCTTGCATCTTTTTCTTAACCTCTTGCATTAAATTATGTTGCTCAGGGAGGCTTTCTGCTTTCTCCAAATGAGGAAAATTTCCTATTTAGGTTATCCGAACTGAGACTGTTTTCCAGATTTCATCAGCGATATTATCTTTCAGAGTATTTAGGAGAATACTGGCAGTGCACTGATGATACACATTCTGATGTACCTTTTCTCCCACGATGACATCATCTTCCTTCTGCGACTTCTGCTTATTAATAGGTGAGCACATAGTTCGATAATGACTGCGGTTACATGACTCACATCGGACTTTCTTCTTGCATTTCCTGAAGGAGTGATTAATTTTCAAGCACCTGAAGGAAGCGTTTTTCTAAATCACTACTTTCGGCTTCTTTCCATAGGTTATTCTTTTCGCTTTCTAGCATTTGGCACAAAAAAAAATGCAGAAATCACCCAAGCCAGCTACCTTTTTTTCCTCATCTCTTCTCTTCAAGTGTGTGAAAAGTGAAGACATAGGAATCCTGCCTCAATTACTCTTGATTCAGTTCCTCCTACGGAACATCAGCCTTCAAATCTGGAAGGTTTTAAAAGTATCCAAGATCCTGTACATGTCGTCAACGGTTGCTGTGGGGTTCCAAAATTCCTAAACGCCAATGATTTTAAAAGGTTGTAACGTCTCCCAATTCAAAAAGCTTTAAGAGATTTTCAAGCCATTGCCAACAAAGGTATTCTTCTAAAGTCTATAATTACATTATGGGTCCTTTAAGTGCATTCAGAAGCTTTGAAATGGCTCAAAGTGTTTCCTAGGAGCTCTTTTTGAACGCTTTAAAGTACCCTTGAATCAAACCTAAGCAGAAGTTTTCAAGGCACAAATAAGCGGATTCTAAATTTGCAATTGTTCCAGACGCACGGACTTACAAATTTCCTCCTGGAGTACTCCACTAGGATAACTGACCCCGAAGAGCACCAGCAGGTCCGAATATTTATAGAGAAGCTTCAACAGCACCGTCCCATAACGGCCAGTGGTGTATTTAATGTGGATTTGGGTATCGCCGGGCCCGTAAGTAAGCGATTTGTGGTTCTTCAACCGAATTGATGTTTTTTTTTCAGATCGCAGCAAACATATTGACCTACGTGCTGGTGGCGCTTCAATTTGATATACCAAAAAATTAAACAATATTTTATTTTCACTAATAACAATAACATTAAATAATAATTATGTACATCACAATGGAAAGCAAACAACTGGCACGGTTTAGTAATGGTAACCTCCGTGGCCGCTGGAGCTGTAACCGCCATGGCCGCTGGTACCGAATCCTCCACCACCTCCTCCGTGGCCACCTCCGTATCCGCCTCCATGATCGCTTCCAAATCCTCCTCCGTGACCACTTCCGTGATCGCTTCCGAATCCTCCTCCGTGCCCACCTCCGTATCCGCCTCCGTGACCACCTCCAAATCCTCCTCCGTGGCCACCTCCAAATCCACCTCCGTATCCGCCCCCGTGGTCATCTCCAAATCCTCCTCCGTGACCACCTCCAAATCCGCCTCCGTGACCACCTCCGTATCCGCCCCCGTGGTCATCTCCAAATCCACCTCCGTGACCACCTCCGTATCCGCCCCCGTGACCACCTCCAAATCCTCCTCCGTGACCACCTCCGTATCCGCCCCCGTGACCACCACCGAATCCGCCTCCGTGGCCTCCTCCTCCAAATCCTCCCCCGTGGCCCCCTCCGTGACCGCCACCGTATCCACCTCCGTGTCCGCCTCCGTAACCTCCACCGAACCCTCCGCCTCCTCCGTGATGGTCATCATAACCACCGCCGTGCCCTCCGCCGAATCCTCCACCGCCTCCGTGATGATCGTCGTACCCACCGCCGTGCCCTCCTCCATATCCTCCGCCCCCTCCGTGCCCGCCGCCAAAGCCGCCTCCGCCATGGTACTCGTAGCCTCCGCCGAAGCCTCCGCCGCCTCCGTGGTGCCCTCCGCCGAATCCACCTCCCCCGCCAAATCCTCCGCCTCCGCCGAACCCTCCGCCGCCACTCAAGTGTATTACCTCATGATGGTGATGATCGTCGTGGTGGTGATGATCTTCGGGAATGTGGACGCGTATGTGTACACTGAAAAACCACCCCCAGCGTCAGCAACCTAACTACCTAGCGAAACGAATTAGACTTACTGTTCGTGTCCCAGACTGCCGGCCCCTATTCCTAGAAACCACGACGCCACCAATAATACCTAAAAACCGTCACAAATTAAAACTCCACCAGAAGCGATTCAACGGCAACTCACTGCTAACTGTAGGTACATCGTTAATCAAAGGCACTCGAAGACGTTACACTATCGCCACGCGATATCGTAATGCGAGAAGGAATTTCGAACGGATCGATTTTATACGGAATTTTCACTTGGCGGACCGATCGAGATGAAAAAGGAGGTTCGCACGCGGTGGGGTGCGATATTTTGCAACGGGTGAGAGCGAAAGAGTAAAAGGTCGATCTTGAACCTGAAAGATTCGCTTCTGTCATCTTTACAACAGATGTAATTCTAAAAGAAAGTTTAATTTCCCTTTCACTCCATTCAGCGATTAGTTTAGGTAACCCTTGACACAAAGAGCGGGCCGACGCGAGATGCGATTTCTAGACTGTATGGGTCCGGACCAGAAGAGTGTGTGAATGACCTCCGGCACGTATTTCCAATTTTTAGAAAACAGCGGCACGATTACAATATTGTTTTCTCATTTTCTAAATATGTAAAGTGAACCGGTTTAGGTAATTAACTTTTTTTTGTGATTCGAGACTTGTTACAACTAAAATTAGTCGTATAATTTCTGGGTTAAATAAAGTGTTGCAAAAGTAACATATGTTTGTTTACGAACAATAGGATTTCCCCCCATAAAGAAAACCGTTGCAGACCAGTTGTTGTCAAAGAAAAGTGTGCGAATGTAACAAGTAGTAAAAATGACATGATACCGAGTTAATTGACAACGTGAATTACATAACGATGACCTATTTATAATTAAACAGGTAATGGGGACGATCGAGAGCATTATAGGGATGCTAAGGGAAGAATTTTGCAAAAACGGGATTGATAATACCTCTTCACGAATCTTCCCTTAACAGAGTTGTTCAATTTCACTAACAATACCCTTCATACTTATTTAGTGCACTTTATTGGGCACGAGCAAGGCTCTTTAAGGGATGATTAGGGAATTATGGTAATAGATCTTCACTATAAGAATAGCTTTCATAGTTAGCAACCATGCTGAGACCGAACGAGACTATAATTCTATACATGCCAAAGGACGAATTGTTCCAATATTATGATTGTCCAATTGTCCAATTTCATAAGCAAAAGCTTACATACTTAACGAACGTAAGGAAGACGATTGAGATCATCTTGGGGATGCTAAAAGAGAAATTGTTCCTTTAGGTATTTCAGCACTCACTCCCTTATCGGTTCCTTGTACCTTCTGTTTTCTCTCTCTGTTGCTGAACTTGTATATATATTATATTGGCTCCACTTCCATTCCTTCTCCTAGGGGAGGATAGAATATTTTGTTTAGTGAAGTAAATGTCTTCATTTTTAAATTCTACTGAAACTGAAACACGGTAATTGCTCTAAGGCGAGTAGCTTTAGCACATTCTTCATGCATTGACTTCAAAAGGTCGTAGGTATTAGAAGCATCTCTGATGGTGGAAATATCACAGGAATATCTCAGAAATGGCATTCTGCAATCTACGCACATCTGATATTTAAAATATGCGATATGTTTGTCTTTACTAGAAGCAACTGTGGTTTAAATTTTAAAAAAATCTCAATAAATAAGTATAGCGCAGCCTGAGTATGAGCTCAACCATGGAATATCCCCCAGAAAACTAAAATTTGTTCTCTTCTTCTCCATCACTATCTTCATCACTATCGCAAAGTGATCTCTATAACCATACGAATAAAAACCTCTTACCCTGGTAGGACCCCCCTACCCCAGTAAACGCACACTTGTTCTCTTTTTCTACACTCGTCACTATCTTTCATGTGAGTTTTCTGTATTTTTATTTCGTTTTTTCTCTTTCCTTGTGATGTTAAGACTTTCTGCAGGGGCACCTCTAAAAAGTATTCACTCTGTAATTGGACGGAACCCCGTTGAGGGCCCATAACAAGAGAAGAACAATAAATAAATACCCCCCCCCCCCCCTGTCATTACCCTGTATTCTCTTTTTCTATTATTTTCTTCCTCCAAACCCTTCTCCCGTTCCCCTCCGTCCTCGGTAATTCTTTTTTTTTTGTTACTCCACCTGTCTTTTTCACGTTCTACTATTAATGTCTTGTATCTCCATCTACTTTCTTTCCCTTCGCTTTTTCCTTCTTCGCAACCTATCTAATTATCAAAAATGTACTCGTATATCCCGTTCTCGCACGATTGCAGTGCATGTAAGGGTGAAATTTCTAAAAATTACTTAAGCTTGAAACGAGCGTGAAATCTATTTAGAAGGTAGTTTCGGGGTTGCTTATAGATCATTCATACACGATAGATCAAAGAAACAAAAATACTTGAACCACTACAAAAGTTCTCCCGCAATGCACGTTTGCAATAAATGTAATGGTAAAATTTCTTAAAAATTACGTAAATTTAAAAAGTTTTAAAAGTTTGAAATCTATTTTAGAGGGTAGTTTCGGGGTTGTTTATAGATCATTTAAACATAATCGATTAAAGAAACAAAAATACTTGGACCACTACAAAAGTTACAACCCCTGCAATGCACGATTGATAGCAATTGATAGGCATGTAAATGTGAATTTTCTAAAAATCTACATTTAGGGGGTAGTTTCGGGGTTGCTTATAGATCATTTATACATGATCGATCAAAGAAACAAAAATATTTGGACCACACAAAAGTTACAACCATGTAGGTAAGTGTCAATTCTTAAAAAAATTGCGTAAGTTTAATACGAGAATGAAATTTAACCTTAGAGGGTAGTTTCGGGGTTGCTTATCGATCATTTATACATGATCGATCAACGAATCAATAATATTTGGTGCATTGCAAAGGTTACACTTACAACCTTCCCAATCGACGATTTCAATGCAAGTAAGAGTGCAATTTCTAAAAAGTTACGTAAGTTGACTTTCCCTTGCCCCTCGCAATCTCTCTCTTCTTTTCCAATGTTAGTTCCGCGATTGCACTGGGATCGTTGGAAAAAAATCAAGATATTCATCTCAATGCCCAAGGCATGAATTTAGTGCATTTTTGGTCACCACATGCATTTGATCAGAGCATGTCAAAATCATTAGGTATACTTGTTCATGCACCAAAATCGTTGGCAAAAAGACCAAGAACATTATTTCGATGCCCAAGACTTGAATTTGATACATTTTTGTTGATTCTATGTGTATTTTGGTCACTACGTTATATCTCACATTACCACACTCAACACCACTCTAGGACAGTTCTAAAAAATCGGACACAACTGAATAACGAACGATCCTCGAGATCTTCACACATACCTACATCGTTTTTTGCAATACACCTTAAGGGGTTGTTTCTGTCCCAGCAGATCAGCATGACTTGTAAAGCAAATTTTTTGAATCGGCATTAGTTTTACTTTTATTCGAGGTGCCTACGTACAAAATTTCCTTTGAATACAGGGTGGTGTTTTTAAGTGGGCCATTAGAAGTATCTCAGGAACAGTTTGGAATTTTGATTCGAGACTCATTACCTTTTTTGAATAATCGAATAAAAGGAATAGACTCATTACGTTTTTTGAATAATCGAATAAAAGGAATCATTTAAAAATATTTTCAAGATGGCCGCTTTTCCGATTGTATCAGAACGAACTTTTTTATTTCAAATGGCACTATCTTTTCTGATGGTAGTTTTGAATTCCTCATAAAGAATCAGTTTGCTTTTGTTAATATGATTCTATGTCTAACTGACATGGTTTCGAAGTTATTTGACATTTTTGACATTTTTTCACAGTTTCAAAGGTTCAGTAAATTAGCCATATCGCTGTTATCTGACAACTTAGCAAAATGTTTTTTTTACGAATAGATAGCTAAAAATCCAAGGTATTAAATGTTATGGTATTGGTCTGATTTTCAAATGTGATTCGAAAATAACACAAATAACCGGTCAAAGTTCACAATCGGTTTTTGGTCAAAAACTTGAATTTTTCAAATGGAAACCATACCTTTACTATGTATCAATGGAAAGAAATGAAGAAAACGAACAAGTGTGAATTGTGCACAACTCATGTGCAGATAAAGCGCATTTTTTAAACCGAAATAGCTTTTGTTTTGACATCACCAATGGATATATTTCTTGCAGACGTCTCAATCGCCCTTTGTGAGTACCCTCTTCCGACAATCCGTTCTTGAGGTATAAGGGAATATACTCGATCACGATAAGAGGTCGAGGAGGAGGGATATGGTTGGTAGAAATAAATAAATAATAAATATTAGTTCCACCCCCCCCCTCCACCCCGTACTTTGGTAAGGGGACAGAAAGAAGGGAATTAGTTGGTAGGAAAGGTTCCTTTCGTTGAAACCTTTAATTAGAATACAATGAGATACAATTAATTTTTACCCCCCCCCCAGGCCCCGTCACTCACTGATTTCGAAAAACTGTCGCAAGGAAAAAAAACAATTTATTTCGATGAAACCTTTCATTAGAATGCCATGAAGGATAGAACATGTGTTAACCCCCACCCCCCCATTTTCTAACGCAGGGGCCCCCTTTTAGACAGCGAAATTCCGTCTGACGCACCTTCAAGGTATAGGCTATCTACTGCAAAAAATTCCAAGACTCTAGGACCATTCTCCTACAAGTACTTCGAAACGGAAGAAGTGGGTCCGGACGGACGGACAAAACGCAACCAATAGCAGATTTTTTTAATACTTAAAAAATGCGCTAACAAAAAAATGTACTTGTAAAATCTAAAAAGTGGACAGATTTTTTTAGTTTTTTTTTAGAAAAATTTTGCAAGTACAATTTTTTATCCGTTTTTTATGCTCTTTATATTGATGCATAGTAAAGATATGGTTTCCATTTCAAAATTTCGAGTTTTTGACCAAAAACCGATTGTTCACTTGACCGATATTACCAAAGTCATACTGATTTTTTATGAATAATTCGAAAATGCCATCAGAAAAGATAGTGCCATTTGAAATAAGAAAGTTCCGGTACCGCTCTGATACAACCGAAAAAACGCCCATCTTGAAAATATTTTTAAATTATTCCTTTTGATCGATTATTCAAAAAAGGTAATGGGTCCAGATTTGAAATTCCAAACCGTTCCTGAAATGCTTCTAA